CATGGTGGCGCATGCCTGTAGTCCAAGCTACTTGGGAGGCTGAGGCAGGAGGATTGCTTGAGCCCAGGAGTTTGAGGTTGCTGTGAGCTAGGCTGAAGCCACGGCACTCTAGCCCGGGTAACAGAGTGAGACTCTGTCTCAAAAAAAGACATTGTCTTCACAAAAAAACAGAGGATCTTTTCCTTTTGAATTGTTATATTTTACATTATAATTACTCCTTCAAAAATAAAGTATAAAGATATGATCTGTGTACTGTTGCAGTATTTGTTTATAAAATAATGGGCATTTTGGGCAATTTGACAATCACAAGAAAACTATTTGGTTTTGTGTATTCACAGCATCTGGGCGCCATTCCCCCTGAGAGTGGGGATTTCCAGGAGATGGTGTGCCAGGCTTGTATGAAACGTTGTTCTTTCTTGTGGGCTTATGCTGCACAATGGGCAGGTAGGTATCTCTGTGCAGTTGGTGTGCCACAAACTTGCGCTTGTGAACTATGTATGTTCAACCCAGAATGTTTCGCAACTATTTTTAACTGGACTCTGAGGTATGGAAAACAGTGTGTGTTCCTTCTACACAAGGTACTTATAGATTGGTTGAGAGACTACGGAGAACAAATTTGTACTTAAATGACGTGATCACAGTAAGGATGACACCAGAATTAGAGAAAATGGAAGAGGCAGTTTTGAACAGAATTTTGAAAGATAAATAGAATTAAAATAAGTTATAGTTAAATATAAGACATGTCTACTGGTTGGGGAGGGGGTGGCATCTTAGTTCATTTGTATTGCTATAACAAAATATCTTAGACTGGGTAATTTATAAACAATAAGAAATTTATTGCTCACAGTTCTGGAGGCTGGGAAGTTCAAGAACTGGGCACTAACAGAATTAGTGTCTTGTGAGGTCCATTCCTCATAGATGGAGCCTTCTGTGTGTCCTCACATGGCAGAAAGGGTAAACAAGCTACACTCAGGCCTCTTTTATAAGGGACTAATCCATTCATGAGGGCTCTGCCCTTTAATTTCTGGCCCTTTCTCACCTTTTGGGACCACTTCTCCACACAAACCACAGGCAGCATAGCTACACCTAACGTCTTGTCCCACACTTTTGATTTGCTTCAAAGTTCTTTTTTTGTTTTTGAGACAGGGTCTCACCCTGTTGTGGGGACTAGAGTGCAGTGATGTCATCATGGCTCATTGCACCCTCAAACTCCTGGGCTCAGGTGATCCTCCTTCCTCAGCCTCCCAAGTAGCTGGGACTACAGGCGTGCACCACCACACCCAGCTAAGTTCAAAAAAATTTTTTTGTACAGATGGGGGGTCTCACTGTTGCCTAGGCTGGTCTCAAACTTCTGGGCTGAAGTGATCCTACCTCCTTGGTCCCCAAAAGTGCTAGGATTACAGGCGTGAGCCACCATGCCTGGCCCTTAAAGTTCTTCAACTTGGTTCTCCCTCTTTCTGTTCATACCCTTTCCAATGATATCTCTCACTTTCTACAGACACTGGACCCATACATATTTCTTATTCATCGGGTTTTCTTAATTTATCGTCTGCCTATTTCTTCATTTCTTTTCCTTTCATCAGATGTCTCCTATTAAATGGAAATGTGGTCAGGTGTGGTGGCTTAGGTGGGAGTATTGCTTGAGGCCAGAAGTTTAACACCAGCCTGGGCAACATAACAAGGCCTAGTCTTCACAAAAATTTTTCAAAAATTAGCCAGGCATGGTGGCATGCAACTGTAGTCCTACCTACTCAGGAGCCTGAGGCAAGAGGATCACTTGAGCATAGGAGTTCAAGACTGCAATGAGCTGTGACCACTGCACTTCAGCCTGGGCATCAGAGCAAACCCTGTCTCAAAAAAAAAAAAAAGAAAAAAAGAAAAGACATGCCATCATCCAACATGAGCTACCTTACCACCGTTTCTCTTCTCTCCTTCACGGTATTTGCCTCTAC